ATTATCTAAGAGGGGATCTAAAAGCGCTCTAGACGGTGGCGGTAAGCGAATCTCTTGCTAATTAGTGCATAGCATAGGCATCCGCAGTCTATAAGCGCGACAGCGTTTGCTACGTTGTTCACGATAAGATCTACAGTGATTGGTGGGGGACGCATATGCTTCTGCTAAAACTGATTCCATTCGCTACGTATCTGCCGATCCATCTTCAGAGGCTCTGGGCCGAGACTCTGGCCCAGAGCTACTCTTTTTCCGAGTCGCTACTCGGCACCTGATCGACTTCCTCCTGCGGCTTATGTCCAACGTTGCTTGGCGCGGGCCTTGCCTTCTTGACCTGGGTGGCGTTTTGACAGTATTTCGCGATATGACCTAGCTCTCCGCAGCGATAGCAGTCGGGCGGAGGTCGTCGTGGCTTGCCTCTAGCTTCTCGCGCCTGATTAACCTTCGAAGGCTCCTAGTCTATAACGTCCGGACTAGCTTCGTGTTGAGCGGTTGTCGTAGTAGGGCGATCTACCACCCAGGAGCTCGTTGCGCGCAGTTTAACGAGACCTACCTAGTAGAGGTTGTCGGACGTTCTTACTGCCTTATTGACTAGCTGCTCGTACGATAGATTCTCATCAATCGTAGCAAGAGCCTCCTGCAGCTTATTGTGAAGGCCCTTTAAGAACATACTCTTCTTAGCTGCTTCGCCGAACTGCTCGCCTAACTAAATCTCAAGACGGTTAAACTCCATGTGATAGTCTCTTACTGAGAGCTTGCCTTGTTTGAGAGTTGAAAGGCGATTAAGTGCTTTGGACTTCTAGTGTGGGTCGTCAAACTGCTGGTCCATAAAGCTCCAGAGGTCTTCAATGTGGCGTTTACTCTGGTTCTGTATTGCCTAGGGTAGAAGTACATCCGCTGCCTTGCCCGTACACCTACTAACCACGTACTCGATCTGAGCGAGGCTTGAAGTTCCTTTGTACTCGTGCTAGAGCTTAGCTTAAGTCTTGTATTTAAACGCTACGTACTTCGTTCGATCTCCATCAAATAGTTCTGGGTGCGGGAACTTGTTCCTGCGCGCAGCTGGCTCGGCGATTGCGGCTGCTGCTGGGGGAGGCGTGAAGGCTCTATAGGACGACTCTGAACGCCCCTCAGCTTGGTTACGCTCGAGTGCCACGAGCCGTTCCGTTAGCACCTGGTTCTGGGCTGTTAACCGATTCATCAGCTCCATCATCTGGGCCATGGCATCCTGGTTGGCCTTCGGCGAGCCTCCTTGCCTTGGTGAGCCCTTTCCTCCCACGACGGCCGATCGTTTGGCGACCGCTTTAATCGTTGGCCTAATTGCTACCTCCTTCCATCCGTCCTCTCTAAGCATTTGTGTAATTTCGCGCAGGATCTCTTCATCTGATACTCCTGCCTGGTTCTTGGCAGCAGCGTACGCCGCCAGCTCTTCCACATTCAAGTTTGGAACGTTAATCTCCATTGCCTAATTCGTTTTGGACGTCTCGTTCTTTGCCTGCTAACATGCAGGGCTTCCAGTCGCTCTTCGATCCGCTCGCGCAGTCCTTGACTGCGGCCTACTCCTCGTTGGTGAGGACTAGTAGGGCTTACCTTCGGCCGTACTTCTCTTCTAGCTGGTTCTGAACAGCGTTTGGCTGCTGTCGTGTCGCGTCCCTAGGAAGACTCGCGTCTTGCCGTCTCGCTTGTGGGATCTCGTCTCTAATTGAGAGTAATCGCACGGCCTGCACCCCGTCCGATAGAGGATCGACAGGACTTCTTACTACAACGTCCGCTTCTAGCTAACTGTACGCTAGGCCCGAGTGGCCTTTAGGTAGTTTATCACGCGACGTTGCGCCTACGGCTCGGCTTTCTAAGACACGGTAGGACTTCCTAGACAGGTCCTGGGCGACTAAATCGCCTACTGTCTCTCACGGCTGAACTTCCTGCGAAGCTCTGCCCTAGGTGTACTATCTTGCGACGGTCTACCTTCTCGCTGCACTAAAGGCCTTTCGTACCTATTGCAGCACTAACTCTATGTTACTAGCTCACACTAACAACACGCTCTAAAACTTAGTTAGAAGATAGTCCGCCTAAGGCTTATGTCTAATTGGGATCGAATACAAAATATAAGGGGCTGCGCTCTAGGGAGCAATTACAAGGTATACAAGAGGTTGTATTCAATAGAGAGCTATAGAGTCTACTTGCGTGGTGTTTATTTACTTGTCGGAGAAAGGTTGCACCGAGTGTCTGAGCGCGTCGTCTGGGCGCCGCTCAGGCCTCGCACAGATGCCGGGTTGCAGAGTAAGACCTGGCGTCTGCTGCTTGACCGAGATTCCATCCAGGAGCTATCTAAAGGGCGTTCAGCCCGTTACAATTTCGATTAAATATTAGTAGAATAGTAGGCTAGAAGGAAATAGTAATACTGTATAGCTTTAACGTTTCTATAGAGCTAGTCAATAAAGAAGTGTAGTATAGTGATAGGCAGTAAAGACTGCTGCTTTTGTTAAGGTCATGAGTCTGTTATTGATACAATGAGGGAATTTATTCCCTGCCCCAGAATCGTCTGACATCGGTCGATGCATGGCCAGCACCGATGTCCGAATCTATCTCCGAAGTCTCTAGTTCAATTGTACAGATGGCCGACTAGATATAAGACACCATTGTCACTTGAAAATGATCAAGCACATCATCCACCTTATTCTTCACACAAAAGATCTTTCAAAAGCAAAAAGAACAAAAACCCGATATCTGTCAACCCATTTGACCTGAAGAAATGGCTCCTCTACTACCCACCTACTCAGGCATAACCAAGCCCGCAACCCACCTTACTGAACACGAGGGCATTGCAGACGATGTCCATCGCATTACTGAATCGGTCGACGCTGAAGATGGTGCAATGTTTGAGAGCTGTGTCTTTCCGGATGCAGAATGGGATGTTAGCGGTCTGACATTTCTGGAAAAGGACTATGGGGTCCTTCGCGGACTTAAAGAGATGCTGCATTGGCAGATGACGGGCCCAGCGCCTGTGCTTACCACGCATATGGCCACCAGCATTCGATCTCACATAACAATCTTAGAGGACGGCACTAAAACCGCTACTTGTACGGCAAATATTCTGGCTCAACATTTACCTCATGGCACTCCCCACGACAAGATTTCAACTTGGGAGAAGGATGTGTTTCTTGCCGGAAATCGGCTCTCGGGAGAGTTGAAATGGGACGGGGAGAGGTGGCGATTTACTCGATTGTGTCATAAGACTATCTGGAGTGTTGGAGACAACTCTTTTATCGTTCGAGGCAGGCCAAAGGCGATGACGGAGTAGTTCCGATTTAATTATCTTTAATATAAAATATCAATATTTGTAATAAGTAATGGGGAAAAGAATCCGTCTCCTCCTGACAACGAGTGGTCAAGGAAACCAGCGTGGAACAAGATATCACGTCATTACCGTCCGGCCGAGACGAATTATCTAGGGGATATGATGTGATGTGATGTATTGCATTTCTCGTTCCTACTTAAGATTTCCCATGGGCAGGATAGATAAGATATATGATGAGTGACCTGAAATAGGTAAGTTAGGGGTTTACATCTTGACACCAAACTCTCTACAGGGGAATGCGGTTACCAAAGAGGCGTCGCGCATTTTGAGAGAATATTCCAGGCTTCTCAGCATCATTTACAAAGGGCGATGTCTGGATACCCAGCAGCGATGGGCCATACGTGAAGATGGGCGCATACGGGAAATCAGTTCCAAAGAAGAGACTGGTCGTAGGAATACCATAAGCCAGAAGCCCTCCAATCTGATGGAAGTACGTAGGTCCGGCAGAATCCCAAAAGAAACGTGTCTGCAGCACAGCCATGGTCTGGTCATAAATTGCGGGGAAGGACTTCAAGAGTCGATCGGAGATCGAGGGAAATGCACCTCCAACATGCGGAATGATGTAGTTGATGTTGGTGAAGTTGAGGGTTGTTTGCGTGATGGCAAGATCCTCCAGCATGCGTGCTGTCTCGAAGTAGAATTCAATGTTTCCAGTTGGGTATATGGTTGGATTGGCCTCGACCAGTGAGCCGTTTACGCGTATGTAGGGTGTTGTGGGATGCACGTAGATGATTTGGTTGCCACCGCGCGCGTTCATTGCCTCGAAGAAGGGCTTGAAGGCAGGGTCGCCGAGATAACGCCCCTCAAAGTTTGAATAGAGCGCGATACCAGCAGCCCCTAATGTATCGAGCGCATAAGTAGCCTCGGCGATTGCATTTGCAGTGTACGGTAGCGGGACAACGGCGTAGAATGCGAATCTGTCCGGGTAGGCCCGCACAAACGCTGCAGACTGCTCGTTGATCAGTCGCGCAAGCGCAATCGTTGCAGCCTGATTTCCTTGATGGACATTGGCACCAGGCGAGGAAAAGGCCAGCACTGCGCGAGAGATGCCTTGGCTGCTCATGAAGTCGAGATGCCCAGTCACATTCCATGCCGGCGTTGGGTTCCCGCCAGTTTTAGGTACAATCATGCGATACCAGTCTGGTACGCAATGCGCTGTGGTTTCTGTTAGACGCAAGATGCAGAAGTGAATATATGAACCCACCGTGAACGTCGATAAGTCCAGTGACATTGGATACACTATGCGCAGAGAGCTTTGCATCAGTGTATGTAGAAGCGATATCTTCCAGCGTAGAAGGTGTGTTCAAGCCTGGGATGGCGTTGAGGTTGATCGAGTCTGGGTGGCGATTATTAGAAGCCTTGTAAGAGCATTTGGATCCATTGGATTCGTACCGGCTGTAGCGCGCTGGATGATGGATCGGACGATATCTGCAGGTTCATACTTCTTTGACGACCCGCTTACGCAAGTAGCAAATGCAGCTGCCCACGCGAGCAGGATGAGTGATTTTCTGTTAGCTCTCATGTTATGATGTTAACGAGAAACGCCAAATTGTAGAGGACGTACAGAAACAAATATCCTTATGTCGTGCGTACAGTAATCGACAGGTACATGATCTAGAACAGGGAAATGTGCCGTCACTAGTAACCAATAACGCATTCCAAACGCGATCTGTAAGCAATGGCACGGCAGTCAGCACGGGAGCGGATAAAAAGGCCTGCGCTAGACTCCAACTTGAAAAACAGGCCATGATATCTGGTAAGACATCTAGTATTTTGTGAATGCGAGCTGATTGAACCAGCCATCAATCTAGGCCTCTTATTAAGCTTCAACCCATGTCTTTGGCCGGTTCTGTCGGACTGCATGTAGAGGTGTCCTTTGAGCGAGGCACGCCACCGATACCATCTGCGCGCAGCCTATTTATGAACTCCTGTAATTTCACCATGTCATGCGCGTATGCTCTATTTTGAACTGATTAATCAACAGCTGGGCCTCATGACTCTATAGTAAAAATTCGATAGCTTTCCTGTTAGCGCGACGCGCGCGATGCGGTCAGTTCAGAATATGGCGACAAGTGAAGAAATTGCCATGCGAGTATACTATTTCAGGGACACCTCATGATTTTACCTGAAAGGACCAGCGATAGCGCGTTCCCTGTAGCTCCGGGAATTGTTGCTAGCCAGCTGTCAGTGTTGTGATGATGGCGGGAGGCGGGAGGCTGAAGTTGCGTTGTTTAGCGTCACTGGGTGCTCTGGCCCGCGGCTGGCATTGGGGCGGCACCAGACTGAGCGATGACTTCACCAAAACCATTTCCCATTTGTTCATACTGTGCATTCCTGATGCGCACCCTGAACTTCTTCGTTCAATTCATTGTACGTTATTGTCGACATGAATAGTGTGTTGATATCTCGAGTCATTAGCAACCGCAGGCGCCAATACATAACGTCTCTACAGCTGCCTCGAAGCATCAAGGATTGCAGGCTGGAGTTCACGTGAAATGTTGTGTGCAACACCGGGGCCGCCAGTACGTATTCTCAACAGGCACATTTACAGTAGATGACCGTAAGTTAGTTTTACATGAGAAGTAATATCCATTGTAAAGAAGGGCAGTTGAGCCGTTCAATGAGATACCACCCCAGAATGCGCACAGGATGGCTGCTGCATCTTGTTGGCGCATTTCACTGCAATCAGCCACGAGCCCAGCCTTGCAAGCTTATGTTTCGTTCGCAGCCTCCGCGGAAAGGGCTATACCTTCGCTTCCACTACAGTGCTGTCATTTGGGTTTTTTATTTATGAAAACACGGTTTAGAATGCTGCAAACGTGTAAGACAGGAGACTTTGCTTGACTACTGATCCCGCACAGTGTCCCTCAATTTGGATAAATAGAAAATACGTCTAAAGAAGTTCATAGTGTAAAGCTGGGAACGGCTACAGTGCAGATTCGCTGGTGTTGCGACCCCGCCTTTCATGCGATCTGAACATCTGGACCCAGCCATCACCTGCTGCAGTTCGAAAACGTGTGGAGCTATCATTGGAGCTTATCTTTGAACTGCGCCGCAAGTATCGTTCATATATGACAGGTATTGATGGCCCACCTCTTGAAATTGTTCAATGTAAAAGTTCTCGCAAAGTTGTGTGAATAGCTATTCACTTCAATTACAAAGTCACAATGACATTCGTGTTTGGAAATCATATCAAGAAGGAGAAGAAGAAGAACAGAAAGATCCCAAGGCTATTTTCGTAAGAAAAAATCGGCAACAGATTCAAGTCCTCGATCTAATCATTTCAGGCCTTACACTCAAGCTCCTGCCGAACTCCACATCGGCGAAGAACGCACGGTTTACTACGTCCCAAGTCACTTTCTGCCTCATGGGTCTCTAATATCCACTGGAGAAGGCCCGATATTGCTTACTGATGTCGACGTGAGGACTGGGCATACGCTCGTTCATTACCTGTACACCAATCAATACGAAACGCCCAACACGTCAGATGAGCTTGAACACGCCCTGCAAGTTTACATCGTGGCTAGAAACTACAGCATTTCCAACCTTGCGGAACTTGCAATGCACCATGTGAAATGTCTCTGCGACAAAATGGACATTCTCCAGATCATGCGATCGATCGAACCGATCTTTACTAAACTCCGCTCGGAAGGCTCATCCGACAGCCCGGTCCATGACATCTTGGTCAGGAAAATAATCGCTACGTTTGACACAGACGTTGCTGCATTCGAGTCTGATGAGTTTCGCGCTCACCTAGACAAAGCTGGACTCATGGGATTTTTGCTGAAGATCATGATGCAGTTGCAGATTGCTGTGCTAAAGGGGATAAGAAAGGAGGACGAGGAGTTGGAAGAGTACATAAAGAGATTCCAAGTTTTCACGAGTACCCATAACGGATACAATACAGCTATTTCGTGCGAAGAAAATCTCACTGCGCAGAAGCACCACGAGCAAGGTGTACTCGAGTCAGCGATCACGTCCGCTGAAGCCTTTCCCCCGCCTGAGGAAGCACAGCCTGGTGCGGTCTGCCTCCAGCATGAAGTCCCGCCTAAAGTAGAACAGCATGATCAGGAATTTCCGAAGAGGGCCGAACTTGATGTTAAACTCGACAATGTCCATCCAGCAGATTCCTACTTGGATATAGCAGCAGAGGCTGTCGCGGTGAAGGAAGTGGTTCAAGAGGATCCCTGGGCGTCTTGGGGACTAGGGACCGAGAAAAAGAAAAAGAAGAAGAAAACTAAGAAAGGGGGTGTACCAGTACCAATTGAGGAGACGAAAAGTCCTGAGGCCGAACGTAGACTTTCACAGTCTGAAGCTGTTAATGTCATATGTGCGCCTGACCTGGTTCTTCAAGAAATTTGTCCTAATCAGGCGTGGCACCTATATGGAGGAGACAAAGGTTGGAAGTCGTGTAAACAATGCGGAGAACTTGTAGCGAGAGCTGTTCAGCAAGCTGCGGAGTCTGAACTGGCGTTATCTTAATCTATAAAGTGGTTGAGGAGATCTTCCTGAAGATTGTCAGCTCAATAACATGACACTCCCTACAGATACTATCTTGATGTCTGAGCTATACTAATCCACTTCTTGCTACTTTCCATTGATATGAGCGAATGCAGCAGCTACATATTGTTGAATATATATCGTCATTGTTCCACACATCCCACCTCTTTCGTTTTCCCCGGATTACGATATATTACAGCCTATACGTCTCGTCATATTCCAAATCCGAGGACATAAAACACCGAGATACAAGGGCCTAGCCTTTCTTATCACTGAGGATAGTTGATTTGGGCTGCCTTATTAATGAGCAGCGTATTCTTCATATCGTAACAAATCTCTGGTCCCTTCTAGTGCAAACAGTCAAGCTGACCGCAGCCCGCCCAGCTCCTCCATCAACCCACAAAGAGCACGAAGCAATGGTGGCCCGGTTTCCCTGTCTACATCGGGATGCGTTCCATCAAGAAGCGCCACACCTGCTTGCATAACCTGCCACGGAAATTTGAGATTGCAAACATCTGTTTTTTCGACGCCTCCTTCGCCCTTACCAGACATTCTAAGACATGGCGTTCCGGTGTTCATCACGATAAATGAATCCACGGCAGTCTGATTGGAAGACCGCGCATCATCCAAGAACACGAATGTTGCTGTGTCGTCCGTTGTTGTGACAGCGGCCGGGTGAACGGGTGTGCTGAAACCAGTTTTGCGTTCTTGGTCGCTTGTCATCATACTATAAGTCCAGATGACCATAATCGAATGATATATGATGAAAGAGTCTTGACCGCGATTTTGATAAGGTTGAATTGCGCGTGCAGAATGTAGGACCTGGCCAGCATAGGCTGTGATGCGGTCAACGGGCATTTCCATGATAAAAAAGAGATTTGGTACGTACCTATTGCTGTGCGAGCTTCCCTAGATTTGCACCATGGTTGCAATGCGATGTATGCACGATGTGCGGCTTCCTCGCCGCACCGACCAGCGAACCGAGTAATAGTATCAAGGTCAGCATGTAGATACATCTGCAAGAACTGCTGAAGAACGCATGTCAATGCAGAGGAGCTATTCAAACCCATTTCCACGTTGCGAAGACAGTCTTGCAATCTTTTTTGCCGAGATCTGGACCATAGCTGGGAAGAAGGATCACTCATCTCGTGAAGGAGCACAGTTTGCTGGCGATGTTCCCAAATTTGCGACGCTAATCCATGGGTATACGCTGATCTTGCAACGCGTGGATCAAAGCCGGCATGCAGACATGATATTGAGTCTGCGTCCTGGAGAATTGAACGCATCGAGGGACGAAAACTGGGAAGCGTCCCAGACATTATGCGTGCCTTCCAAACTGCAGCTGACGGTGCGAGCCATAGTGGTTCTGATGCAGGTAGGGGTAGTGTTAGCTCTGCATAAGATAGTAGCGGCTGCCGGTAGTTGACCATTGTCATATATATGTCGTGCTCGAAAAGGTGATAGACTAATCTCTTATAGGCTTCAAGTTCGATCCATTGACGCCATTTCTTCTCTACCGTATCAAAGTCGTCGTTTGTTTCAGGCGTGATGGTGGGATATCGGACGTCGTCAAATCTTCCTGCACGGCGTAGCGACGTGACGAGCACCTGCAAAGAGCTTTCAGCCAGCTGCATCTTACGTCGAAAGCCACAAAATGCCCCTATGTTCAGCCAGAGCATGGAGGCCTGAAGATACTGCAAATCCCGCATGACACTGTTATCACGCTCGGCAAGCTCTCTCAGAGAGTCTCGCACAATTTCCTGAAGAACTAGACCTGTTTTGTTTACTGACGGTATACCAAAGCAGATACAACCCGCTACTACAAGTGCCGTCATAAACTCTGGTCTCGCAGAGTCTGCATCGAACGTATACGGGTGTATCCATGCATCTCCTTCGATTCGTTTGGCTATACCGACTTTGACGAGCTTGTCAAGGCAGTCTGCTGATGGAAATGAAGATATGGATACTTGACTGGGGGCTGTTTTTAGAACAAGTTGAAGAATGCGATCCCGAATTTGCTGCGACAAGTGGCCGGGGATGATGACCTTGGACGCGTGTGGTTGGTGTGGAGAAAGAGCAAGGTCTACTTGTCGCTCGTCAAGAGTGAAGCCCTCTTGCTCACTAAAGGCATTCTGGTTACGCTCTGGTACCCAGAACCATGGCGACTGCCTGAAAACAGCGTGGCGTCGTCTAACTGCGTCTCCAGTATTGGTTGCTCGAGCCTCGTTGAGGATTGTGCCGCCTGGCGTAGTCACTGGGCCGGCGCGGCCGGCGTCTGTCGATGGTGTATTGAACGTCTCATCAATGGCTGGCACAAAATCAGCCCCGAATAGATCGATCTCGCCGAACCAATCCGTCTCAGGTAACCATGTAGTAAGATCAGGGGGTGGGTGCAGGTATTCGGTTGCAAGAAAATCCAATTGTGTGACCATGATTTGCTCAAAGAAGTTGGAGAGTGCATTTGGTTGATAGACTGCGCTTTGGTAGACATCCGAGACCCCCTGGTGAGCGGCGGCCGCTGCCATGAAAGCATCAACTGGGTAAATCAGCTCAGGAGGGGGCTCCTCAAGGCTGGCCAGTTGCTCCGATATTTGCTCAGCGCGTGGGCTGGACACGGTAATAGAATCATTTTGGACTGAAGATGTCCGCGTCGTACATTCTATATTCTTCTTCAAACACTTTTGGCAAGGTCTGTAGTTGTCACACTTTACTTTGGATATCACACAGGCGTTGCACGCTCGGGTGGCCCTTTCAACGGCTCGGTTGACGCTTACTTGCCCTTCTGCAGCGTTCTTCACATGATTTGATCGATGGCGAAGTAGAAGGTCTCTGTAATATCAACTGAATTAGCGAGTATTCATATCGGGTACCGTGCGGTTCTCTTCGCTGTCCGAACACGTGCGTCGCGTGACATGCATGACTGCAGTGGTGCCGATCGGATGAAAAAACACTAACCTACGGTTGAAAGCTGCAGGGCACTCTCCGCAACGGAAAGGTCTTTGGTTCCGATCTGAACTCTGTCAGCAAACTCCTGAAGTGGGCGCTCCGATACCTACGCGAGTCCAAGTGTCGGTTCAGGTGGTCAATCCGATCATACGTGCGCTGACACACTTGACATTGCAGGGCGGGCACATCGTCCGCATTAGAGGACGCCCGAGCCAGCTTTGATGGTCTGGTCACCGTATCATCGATCTCTCCTGGCATTTCGAGGGAGGTGAGTGGCAGCGGAATATGTGGAAGAATGTCTGGGGTGGTTGGACCCTCGTTCTGTGCCTTCGGAATATGTGGGGGATGCCTGACTCGCCATTTGCGGGGAACCTCGCGAACGCCTCGGCTGGCTGTGAGTTCGGCATCACCAACCCGCAATATTCCAATGGAGCATGAGCATGAGTCGTATCTGAAGCCATCTAGGTATGTGGGTTAAGATCCACTATCTAACTCCAACACGCATCTTCTTCCCTGCGCCATCGGTGTCTTTGACTAACGACTATAGTAGACCACACGTATTCGCTTGAACAATATAATGTCTAGACAGATCTTACATGGCAAGCTGATGACTTTGGCTGCGTCTGGAAGGAAACAACACGACTCTGGCTGAATACTATTGTGACAGCGAAAAGTTATTTGAGAGGACAAGAATGTCACGGACTACTTTAACCCGAGATAAAACTTGGAACGGGACACGCGTTTAGACCACCGGGGTCACCTTCATGGATGCGTCGGTACATGTGGGCGGACGGATCTCGGGGATGTATGGGGGCGGCCACATTGTCCGCGTCGAGCGAAAGCAAAGATACTGTTGCCAAAAATCGGTAACGTCAAAGTATAGCGAGTGGCCGAGAATAGCGAGTGACCGAAAATGCCAAGCCCCCATCAACTTTCACTACTACTCGCGATGTCTCAACAAATTCATTCAAAAAAGTCTTCAAAAGAGTCTCAAGTACAGCTTGCAATTTAGGCTATTAAATGCGACGCGACAATTAACATTCCACGCGCTGCAGCTCTCTACAACGTGCCTGAACGTACCCTAAGACGAAGACTCGCAGGAAAGCCTTCTCGACAAGATTGTTCGCCCAACTCAATGAAACTACTTATAACAGAAGAGGAGGTGATTGTCAAGAATATTCTTGATCTTGATGCAAGAGGATTTCCGCTGCGCCTTTCTGCTGTCAAAGATCTAGCTGATTCTTTGCTGGCTGCCCGCCACCGCGACCCTGTTGGCCCTAACTGGCCTAAAGCATTCATAAAGCGTCGCCTAGAGCTTAAGATGAAGTTTAATCGAAAGTACGACTACAAGAGAGCCCT